TATTCCAAAAATTTATATGGAATCACAAAATACCTCAAATAGCCACAAAAATCTTGAGAAAAAAGAGTAAAGTTGGAGAAATCATGCTACCTGATATCTGTACTATACTAAACTATACTACAAGCCCATAGTAATCAGCATGATACTGGCATGAAAACAGACATATAAACCAATACGACAGAATAGAGAGCTCAAAAATAAACCCATGCCTTTATAGTCAATTAATATTGACAAAGGAGGCAACAAATATACAATGAGATAAAGGTAAATAAATATTCAATAAATAATGTTGGAAAAATTGGACAGATAAATGCAAAAAATGAAACCAGACTGCTTTCTTACACCATATACAAGAATGAGCCCAAAACGGATTTAAATGTTAGACTCAAAACCATTAAAATCCTAGAAGAAAATGCGGGCAGTAAAATTTTGGACATTTCTCACAGCAATATTTTTTCTTATATATTTCCTCAGGCAAGGGAAACAAAAGAAAAAAAAAACAAATGGGACTACATAAAACTAAAAAGTTTTGCACAGCAAAGGAAACCATCAATAAAATGGAAAGACAACCCACTGAATGGGATAACATATTCTTCCATGATACATCTGATGAGGGCTGATTATCCAAAATTTATAAAGAACTTACAAAACTTAACACACAAAAAAGCAAACAATCCAATTGAAAAATAAGCAAAGGAGCTAAATAGACACTTCTCCAAAGATGACATACAGATGACCAATACACATATGAAAAGATGCTTAACATCACTAATCATGAGAGAAATGCAAATTAAAGCTATAAATGAGAAATCACCTTAGACCTGTCAGAATGGTTATCAATAAATTAATGAACAATAAGTGTTGACAAGGATGTGGAGAAAGGGGAACCCTTGTATATTCTTGGCGGGGGATGTAGATTGATACAGTCACTGCAGAAAGCAGGATGGCATTGCCACAGTGATTCCGCTTCTGGAATTTACCCAGAGAAATCCAAAACACCAATTTGAAAGAACATAAACACTCCTATGTTCATTGCAGTGTTGTTTACAATAGCCAATATCTGGAAAACAGCCCAAGTGTCTATCAGTAGATGAGTATGTAAAAAAAGCTATGGTACATTTGCACAATGGAACACTATTAGACCATGAAAAATAAAGAGAAGAAAATTATACTCTTTGCAACAGCATGGATGGACCTGAAGAACATTGTGCTGAGTGAAATAAGCTAGTCAGAGAAAGACAAATACCTTATGATTTCACTTATATGTGGGATATAAGGAAGAAAATGAACTAACAAGCAAAATAGAAACAGAGTCATAGATAGACAGCAGGCTGACAGCTGTTGTGGGGGAGTTGTGGGACTAGGGGTGGAAGGATTGAGCAAAAGGAAAAAAAGGAGAAAAACTCATGGGCACAAACAGCAGTGTAGTGACTGCTGGGGTGGCAAGGTGGAATGGGGTATGGGGGGACAAATGGTGATGAAAGGAGTCTTGCTTGGGGTGATGAACACATAATACAGTGTTCAGATGATGTGTTATGTAAACATGTACCTGAAACTGTATAATTTTGTTAACCAAATACATTTTATAGTAAGGAATAAAAGAAATATTAACTGAGTGTGAGCAGAGTGTTAGGCACTATCCTAAATATTGGCATCAGGACCGTTAATAGGAAAGGTCCCATCCCTTACCTCCTTCTCTGTCATATGGGATCAGGAACCAGACTGGTGGTTAGATGTTTCCCAAGTCTACAGATAAAGAGAAAGTTTACCCTATAATGGACCATACCCAGAGCCTATGCCTGATTTAGGCATTGCTATTTGGGTGCTTTGAGTTTATACTTAGATGATATTTTGGTCTGAGAGTTGGCGCAGGAATGAGTTAAGGTGTTTGAAGATGTTGGGACAAGTGAATATATTTTGCATGTGGGACAGACATGAGTTTTCAGGAGGCAAGGATAGCAGACTATAGTAGTTTAAATAAAAAAACCAGGAATTCCTTCCTGGAAGTTCAGAATGTGACTTTATTTGGAAATGGTAACTACTTAAGATGTGATCTTACTGGAGATATGCCCTTCATCCAATATAACCCACTAGTGTCCTTTTAAGGAGAAAAGAAGAGAAACACAAAGGAGAAAGCCATGTCAAAATGAGGACATAGATTGGGATGATACATCTACAAGCCAAGAAATTCAAAGCTCACCAGCAACCACCTAAAGCTAGGAGAGAGGTATAGAAGATTCTCCCTCAGAGCGCCCAGAAGGAACCTACCCTGTTGACACCTAGATTTCATGCTTCATGCTTGACAGATGTGAGATAATAAATTTCTGTTGTTTTAAACCATAAAAAAAAAGAAAGAAAGCACTTTCCTCGGGGCTGAAAATTCTACCAGGGCCAGCAGCAATTTTTCCCTGGTGCTCCCCCTATCAGGGGCTCCTGAGAGGGAGTTTGGACAAAGAGAGGGACCTGGATCAAGCCCAGAGGGGAGCTAAACTGAGGTCTGAGTTGTGAGGCTTGGAGCCCAGCTGTGGCCACAGTGCTGGCAGCAGCCCAGAGAGAGGTGGGTCATTTAACTGACAGATAGTGAGGCAGATGTGTGGGGGAGGCAATGGAAGCTCCATCTGTCTTTTGCTGAGCCCTTCTTTTATCAGCTCATCCCCAAAGATGGGCGACTTTCCAGCAGTCTCTACACCTCTGTTTACAAATAATGTTATTCATTACTTTATTCATTCAATCATTCAGTCAGTTAGTCATTCTATAATCGCCAGCTCACCAAGCAGCTACCTACTGCACACCAGGTGGCATGTGAGGATGGATGTGGACTATTGACTACGGGAACACAGTGGAAGGCTGATCCAGGACTCAAGTTCATGAGAGGTGACTCACCTGTGGAGCCAGCAGGTTCTCCACAAATACTTAAGTGTGTGTTTGGTGGCAGTGGAGGCAAATGAGGAGGAGAAACTATCCACACACCTGGGTTTTAAGGGTGATTTGGATTTTCCTAAGGCCACACGTAATAACAGATTGTGTTTGGAAGGCAGCTCTGAACCAGTGACTTCATTTTATGTTATGTTGATTAGAGGAAATTGCTGGTGTGAGAACCCAAGGAATCCCTGTTCTTGTGTCCCCAGAAAAGGTCAGGATCTGGCCATAGTAGAGGGAAGGTATACCTGGGCAGGTGCTCAGAGGCTGCTCGCCTTATACCATCCTCAGTGTCATTACTGGCCAGGGTTCCCAGACTCTATCACTATGGGACCTCCTCCAGAGTGAAAGCAACTTGTTCAAAACAGGCATTTTAGCCTTTTCCTTCCTCTCAGACCCTGGTCCACTGAGTAACGATAAACTGAACCAGTGCCTTACCTCCACCTATGCTAATTCATGTCCCCTCCTAGTTTTACCAGAACTAGAAATATTTTCTATTAATCCCCAGAGCAACTTCAAACATTAAGCAGATTGATGACTACTTAAGAGGATTTGTCCTAACAAAGATTAAGAGCTTACCCAAAGAAAACCTCTTCGTGTCTTTCCACATTGCCACGGACACAGTTTTCCCAGGACTGAGTAGACCCAGCTTCAAGCCAGGAATTCGGGGCTCCCCTTTCCACTTTTAATCATGTTCCTGCTTAATTTCCTCTGTAGGCATTAGGAGGGGTTAAGACAAAGGAGAACATAGGATATCTGCGTAGAATTCCTTTTCTTATGGGGCTTGTTGTTTGACCTTGGCTGAATTATTTCACTTCTCATGGCCTCAAACACCCCAGTTATGACATGAGGAGTGTGGACTGAGGCTCTCCAAGATCCATTACACTAGTAGCTCTGAAAAAAACTGTGTCTTTTGTCCCAGGGAGTTCTCAGTCTCATGAGGGAAGGTGGTCTTTGTACAGACAGCTCCTAGAATGAGCCATGACCAGTGTATACTAAGACTCTGTTAATATTTGTTGAATGAATGAGGGCATAACTATTACCCTCAGAACATCATCGTTTTGAGCAGGCACAGCTCTGACACTCAGAAAGCTCCTAGGAGTTACAGAGCCAGGGGTGGGGGCACATAGCAGCCAGCAAGAGCTCCAGGTGTTGGGGCTGGAGTTGGGAGTGGGCGAGGGTGGGGGGATTCATCACTGAGGGCTCCAATGGATGGGCTTGGGCAGGCAGTAAGAAAAGGTTTCCGGGTTTTCAGGTGGGATGGTATAGAGTTGCATTAGGAAGGAGGAAATGGCCATGGCCAGAAGGCTGGGTGGAGTGGAAGGAAAGGTTATCCCAGAAGATGAATTAGCCCTTGAAAATCTCATAAGTAGGAGAGGGGTGAAGGTGTGGTTGGTGAAAGCAAAGCAGGTTTACCCAGATTAGCAACCAGTCATGAAGGAGTGGAGTTAGGGGAGTGTTAATTAATTCTGAATGTGTGTAGTTCAATAGAGTCAGGAGAAAAATGGGGGAAATAGATATAATGGTTCTGAATCCCCCAAACAAGGAGTCTACATTCAGTCAAGTTCATGATCTCTAGCATCTACCTTTACATTGCAGGCAATTTGTACCCACCGCAGCTCCACTGCTCCCCTTCCCTTTCCCACTTGTTCATATGCCCAAATGCATTCTATCCCACAGAATATGAGGAACAAACATCACAAGAAAGAAGAGAGCAGAAAGGTGGCAAGATCACAAAAGGTCTCAGATTTCCCTCTAGGGTTAACTCAAACCCTCCAGGAAGCCTGTGGCTCACCTCTGCCCCAACATAAGCCCTACACTTGGGTCTAAGGGGGAGGAAGGTGGCAGTGGAAATTAGGCCTAGGTGACATCACCATCAGACAGCCAGTGCCAAAGAATACTAAGTGGGTGGTTTTCATCACAAAAGCTGAGCCAACTAGTAATTGAGGGGAGTGGGGTGAATCATGTTCAACAGGTGAGGAAAGAAAACAGAGGGGCCTGGGGCAATTTTATTTTCTTAAGGCAGGGCTCAGTCACCTTATAAAAAGCCAGCTAGACATTGACTTGACACCATACCAGAGCAACCACAAAGCCTGATCTTCTCTGTGTACCAGGTGAGTCTCTGATTAGAACCAATGTGAAATTCTTGTTTATTGTTATCAGAAAGTAGACAGAGGCAAATGTGTAAGAGGGCTGATGAGGGGTATTAGAGAATGAGACTACTGGGATATTTTTATTTTAAATTAAAGTACAGTTTAGGTTTGAAGAGAACTTGGTAGGTGGTTAAGCCAGCCACCTCAGTGGACAACTGTGGAACTGGGGGACAGGGAAGGGCACAGACCTGTGAAAGATCCCACAGTGAGTTAAAAGCAGGCTTACAACTGCAGCTGAGGCCCAGAGCACTCTTGGAAACACTGTTGTCCTCTCTGTTTATGATACTCATTATAAAATTTTTAACTCATATGATAGACCTCTACTGAGCCTTTTATTGTATTTAAGGCACTATGCTAAGCACTTCAAGTAAATCATACCCATATTCATAGGAACTTACTCAGGAAACTCATAACCTAGCAGGGAAGATAATGCATGTACATACATAGATGAAACACAAAGTAGATAGTGACTGGTGTGAGGAGAAGGGACAGGGAAGGGCTGTGGCAATTCTGGGGAGCCACACTCACAGAAAGCTCTCGGTGGTGGCAATGATGTGCACCATGATGGAGGAGCATTTGGACAGCAGAGATGGGAAGAAAAGCATTTCAGAGGGGACCGTGTAAGCAAAGGCTAGAGTGTGGTTGCAGGAGCTTGGATTCATATAGAGTTATAAGTCACAGGTGGTTGTACTATGTAGTACTAGGAGTGAGTAAACTGCAGTCATTTCTAAGACATTGCCTTCCAAAAAACCTAATATGGGTACTTGTCAAAGAGGACTCTGACATTCTTGGGAAAAAAGGAAGCTGAACAATGAATCCCACTGAAATACAATGAACAAATTGCCTTTAAGCTTCTCCTCTGAAAAGGGCCCACAAATTGTCAAAGCATATTTTACTCTCAACTGTAGAAGGATAGCCAGAGCTCACTCCTGTGTAGGGATGAGGCTCACTCTTGTAAAGGGTCATGAAATTAAATTTATTTAGCATTGAATGTGGCTTTTTTCCTAGTTAATCCCTGTTTAAACCATCTGTTCTGATCTCTAGGCCCCGTCTTCTCTGAAATATGAGTTCCCACCAGCAGAAGCAGCCTTGCACCGCACCCCCCCAGCTCCAGCAGCAGCAAGTGAAACAGCCCTGCCAACCTCCACCCCAGGAACCATGTGTTCCCCAAACTAAGGAGCCATGCCACACCAAGGTTCCTGAGCCATGCCACACCAAGGTTCCTGAGCCATGCCACACCAAGGTGCCAGAGCCATGCCACACCAAGGTGCCAGAGCCGTGCCACACCAAGGTTCCTGAGCCATGCCACACCAAGGTTCCTGAGCCATGCCACACCAAGGTTCCTGAGCCATGCCACACCAAGGTGCCAGAGCCGTGCCACACCAAGGTTCCTGAGCCATGCCACACCAAGGTTCCTGAGCCATGCCACACCAAGGTTCTGGAGCCATGTCCTTCAACAGTAATTCCAGCACAAATTCAGCAGACCAAGCAAAAGTAATGTGGTCCACAGCCATGCCCTTGAGGAACCAACCACTGAATGCTGAATCCCCTCCCCTATTCTGCTTATCTGTTCCACTTATAATTAGCATGCTGTCATAACCCTCTGAGTCATAACCCCTCCCTCTTTACGCCCTCTAAAAAGTCCCTCACTTTCAGTCTGAAGAGCTTCTGAGCCCCTGAATAAGGCTGAAAGTCTCACTGGCTGAGCTAGTCTTCTAGCTGCTCAAGGCACATCTGAAGAGTGATTGGGGTGGGGATCAAGTGACTCTTCCCTGCTCTGCCCCCATTAAATCATTTTTAACTCCATAGCTGGCTATGTGCGTCATTGTCCGACTCATCTTTCTTCACTGTTCTCTCAACGCAAAGTAGGTACTGCACACAGCAGGACCGGTGATGAGGGCAGTTGTCAGGAAGTGCCTGACCCAGGCACTAAGGATGTGCAGATGTGTATGTGTGACTATTGTACCCACAGGGTGTTCCTGGGCTGCCAGTGGGAAGGCAGTCAAGGTCACCCAGAGCCTGTTACTTTGGGCAGCCTCAGCTGGAGCTGGACTTTCTTCTTACCCCTGAGTTAAGTCTTATCTAAATATAGATAGCACCTGCTTCAAGCTCTCTCTGACTCTGAGTCCTTGTTCCCAAATCACACTTATCTGTTCAGCTTGTTTATTTACTTTTTTCAAAGAAATAGTGCTTGTACATATTCCAACATGATCATCTGTTCTTCACTCATTCTCTCATCCTGATGATCTAACACATGAAAGCCAAGTACTTAATCACTCACATTCAGACACACACACACACAGGCAAATCCACAGACATTCACACCCACACACTCACCACAGAGACACACACAGGTAGACTCCTATACATCCCCCAAATCACACAACACACATAGGTACATTTAATCACTTTAATCAGTGTTTATTTCTCACTGAATGCCCAACAAGAAGACCTCAGTGCTTCATGGGAGCAGACTCAGCAGTGCCTGCCCCAGTACAAGCCTAAGAGGGGTGATCATTACCTGCTTTCTCATATAAACTTATACTAACAAGAAAAGGCATAGACATAACATGTTCACTCTCTCTCTCCCTCTTACTCTCCTTCTCCCCCCCTACACACACACACACACACACACACACACACACAACACAAGGTTCCTCTCAGAGTACAACATAAAATCAAATGCATCGTAAAGAAAAAACGTTTAGACAGGTTTCAGAGGAAGAGAGGTTAATGCAGGTAAGACAAAAAGTCAGCATAAAGTTGAGGGAGAGCATGTCATTAAGATATAAAATGTTAGAATGAAAGGTTTAGCCCTGGCTGGTGTAGCTCAGTGGATTGAGTGTGGGCCTGCAAACCAGAAGATTGCAGTTCTATTCCCAGTCAGGGCACATGCCTGGGTTTCAGGCCAGTTCCCAGCAGGGGACTCATGAGAGGCAACCATACATTGATATTTCTCTCCCTTTCTCCTTCCCCTTCCTTCTAAAGATAAATAAATAAAATCTTTTTTAAAAGAAAGGTTTAAAGAGCTCATTCGTGTTCCAAATCAACAAACTGATATCCAGAGGTCAACAGTTAGTACCTGCATGATGCACAAGCACTCAGATAAGTTTGGGAAGAATTCCAAGATGTTTGGAGAATATCAGACAAAAATTGCTCACCAAAGCTTTGCAATTTGATGAGTCATTATCAGACTGGCAAGAGAGAATGATGTCACTTGAGCCTGTGAGGTTTGCATACCTTCGGGTGATTTCAAACAACTACACAATGACATGATGGAAAATGTCACCAATACCTACAGGAGCATTCACTTTTAAAGGGGCTGACCACAATTGGGGACACTCACTGGTGACACACAGCTGGAAGGGTGTAAAGTCAAGGAATTATCTTAGGGGGAGTTAAGAAAAATAAATTGAAATCCTTAAACATTTGCATACACTCTTTGTTCCACTGGGAAATATGCATTCATGTATATAAATACTTATTTATAAGGAGAATCACTTCAACACAATATGGGAAAAAAGGATGAGAGGGAAATGAAATAAATTCCCCAAAAGAGAAAATCGATTGAACAAGTTATTGTGTAGTTATGTCATGGATTATACTGAAATCACAAAATAATAATATTTAGTCATGGGGAAATTATTCAGATAATGTTCAGACAGATCTTACAAAATATTATTCCATGTAACACATAGTCATATAATTATTTCTTTGTTGAAATGTATGTATATATGCATAAATCTTTTAAAATCTGACAGTAAATACAGCAAAACATGAAGAGTAGCTATATTTGGCTATAGAGTAAAAGGTATTATATATTTTATTCTTTGAACATTCCTATGTTTTAAACATTTTTCTACCATAAGTTGAAAGTACTTTTATTTATAACACTTCTTTCACATGTTTAAAAAAACTTAAGCAGTCCAAGATGTTGATGAGCTAGAGGAAACATTTTTTCCAGAAACTTCCTGAAGTCCTACAGCTGTTTCCAGGCCAGCAGCCCAAAAGGGAAAAGATGGGCAACAAAAGTCTTTTAAAAAAGAATGATATCCCATATAAAACTCAATTCAATTCTAAAACTTTTTGTCAAAAGTCCCCCAGAATGCCACTTCCTTCAGCCCACTCACAACAAAGGACTCCAGTCTTGCCCACTGCCTTTGAACCTGTGACCACAAGGTTACCTGGCAGAGGTGAGTTCTGCGTCCTGTCTGAGGTCCTCCTCTTCCCTCAGCTCTCTCCTATCCCATAAATATTCATGAATGCCATTTACCCAGCCAACAGTAGAGGGTAGGATAATGCTTCTGTATGAGGAATTTGAGGTACAAACTACACACAGCTGGTAAAGTGCATGTTTCCAGCTTGGGTGCAGATGTTACCTGTGCCAACAAAGAAATGCATATTTGGGTCTCTTTATGGGTAGTCAGACCTGGTTTCTCTGTCCCTGCACTACCATGAGTCTCCATGTGTTCTGAAGAGAACAGAGGATGATAGTAACCTGTTTAGATGAGAACTGTTCGATAAGGGAGTTCCCACTGGGCTGTAGGTGTTTCCTCCTATTTCTGACTCAGAACAATCTTTGGGCAAGGGGTCTATGCCAACCACTTTCCCAGCCAGCTTCCCATACCTCCCTACATAATGTACTCATTTCTCCATTATGTTGCTCCCCTATCCCTCTTTGCCATCTGTCCCTTGTCAGCTGTGTGTTTAGCAATCCCCCCGCACACCCCTGCCAGCCCCACACCTCTGCAGAACCAAATGCCTGCCAAGTGGTGAGAGCTTATTCGATGTTTGCTGAGATATTGAGTAGCCTATACCTTCATTAGATAATGCCTTGGATTTGAGGGGAATGTTCTAAACCTTGCCCTTTAACATAGAATTATAATTTTTGCTTAAAAGTTTACATTTTATCATTAGAAATAAATACTGTTAGTTTTCTATTGTTGTATAAGAAGTCAAAACAAACTTAATGTCTTAAAACAACATCTATTTATTATCTCATAGTTTGCATGGGTTTCAGATTCTGAAGCTCCTACATTTAAATTTAAATAGGCACATGTGGCTAGTGGCTACTCTATTGGACAGCCTAGTTCCAGAGCTTCCAAAGAGAGTCTTTAGTCAATTCCAAGTTTCCTACACTGTTCCATCCTACGATTTTTCTGTCCTAGACCTATGCACTGATTTTCATAAGTGGACAATTTTCTTTCTGTATCTCGTACAGAGTGTGTGTTTTATGGCATGTGCTACCCTGGATTTTCCCAAAACAGAGCCTTATGTGCAACTTATTTCTTTGGAGATATAATTTTAGAGAGGAAATATATGAGATAAAGGAGAAGTGAAACTAGGCAAAAGGAAACCTCTGTATGTTACAAAGAATATGTTATAAAGTAGTCAACTACCAAGGGCATTTCCCAGGCAATTTTTTTGTTTTGCATTTTCCTGATAATCATGTTAAGCAACTTTTTATATACCTGGTGGCCATTTGTAATTCTTGGAGAAATACCTATCAAAGCCCTTTAGTCTTTTTTCCAATCAGGTTATTCCTTATATTTCCTTCTTTTTAAAAAATTTTTATTTATTTATCTTTAGAAGGGAAGGGAAGGAGAGAAGGAGAGAAATATCAATGTATGGTTGCTTCTGGTGCATCCCCTGCTGGGAACTGGCCCCTGATGGGAACTGGCCTGCAACCCAGGAATGTGCCCTGATTGGGAATCGAAACTCGATCTTTTGGTTCACAGGCCTGTGCTCAATCCACTGAGCTACACCAGCCAGGGCTATTTCCTTCTTTTTATTCCCAATGAATTATAGGACTTTCTTATGTATTTTAGAAATTAACCCTTTAGAAGATTTCTTATTTTGAAAATTGACCCCTCATAAAAATGAAAATATTTTCTACCATTCTGTAGGCTGCCTTTTCAACCTGCTAATTGTTTCTTTTGTTGTGCAGAAGCATTTTAGTTTGGTGTAGTCTCACTTGACTATTTTTGCTTTGTTGCCTCTGCTTTTGATTTCATATATATGAAATCATTATCAAGACCAATACTACAAAGATTTTCCTCTGTATTTTTAAAGGACTTTTACATTTTCAGGTCTTAAATCTTTAATCTATTTTGAGCTTGTTTTTATATGGTGGATGGTAGAGGTTCAACTTTTTCTTTCTTTCTTTTTTTTGTTTTTTAGCATGTGGATATCCAGTTTTACCAACACCATCTGTTGAAGATACTATGCTTTCCCCATTATGTGTTCTTATTACCCTTGTCAAAGATTAGTTAACTGTATATGTATGGATTTATTTATAGGCTCTTTCTTCTGTTCCATTGGCCTATATGTCTGTCTTTATGGCAGTACCACATTGTTTTCATCATTATAGCTTTGTAATACAATCTGAAATCAGGATATGATGCCTCTAGCTTTGTTTTTCTTTCTCAAGGTTGTTTTGACTAACCTGGATCTTTTGTGGTTCTATACAGCAATTATTTTTAAAAAACAAAGAATAGGTATTGATAAGGTTATAGAGAAATTTGAACTCTTGTACACTGTCAAAGAGAATGCAAAATAGTACAGTAGCTATAAAGAAAGTGTGAAGATTCCTCAAAATTAAAATAGAACTATGAAAAGATCTAGCTTCTGGGAATATATTCAAAAGAATGAGGTTAGCAGCTCTAAGAAATACCAGCACGCCCATGTTTATTGTAGCACTACTTAAAATGGCCATGATGTGGACACAACACAAGTTGTGAATGAGTAGAGAAAATATGGTATATACACAATAGAATACTATTTGGTCTTTAAAAAGAAAGAAATCCTGCCATTTGCAACAATGTGGGTGAACCTAGAGAATATTATTCTGAGCAAAATAAGCTAATCACAGAAGGACAAATATTGTATTATTTCAATTTTAAAGGTATCTAAAATAATCAAATTCATAAAAGCAGAGAATACAGTAGTGGTTTCAATGGGTGAGGAGAGGTAGGAAGTCATTATTCAGTGGGCATAAAGTTTCAGTTTTATTAGATGAGTAAGTTCTAGAGATCAGTTCTACAACACAATGTTTATAGTTAAAAAATATGGTGTTGTGTGCTTAAATTTAAGGGAGTAGATTTCATGACAAGTTCTTACCACAGACAAACACACAGAAATTCTGGGAGATTTCGATGTCTATTTCTTTGATTATGGTAGTGGTATCATAGGTGTTTGTTTATGTCCAAACTCATCTAATTATACATATTAAATATGAAAAAATTGCATCTTAGAAAGGTTTTCACTGGGAATGAAAGAGAATATCATTACCTATCAGCTCATGTACTCCACTGGCAGAGTATGGCTGCTGAGCATTCACAATTCAAGCCTGCACTTCCACAAATGCCTTAAAAAGTCACACAGATGAACCATGCTGGAACCTAGGGCCAAGAAAGTAAAGTGCAAGGAAAAAATGTGAGAAAGGTCCATACAGTCATGACAAAAGAGTAAGACCCAGAAAATCTGGAGAATGTTTCAAAGTAGCCAGCATCATCTGCATTCAGAAATCAAGCAAGGCCCAGGTGCATGTTTGGCCATTGAGATGGGAAATAAGCAGCCTCTTGACACCAGGAAAGGGGCCAAGAGAGATCAAGGAACCTCTGCAAGTGACACTCTCTATCAGAAGCAATGTGACTCATGCTCTGTACTGGAGGTTAGTCTCTTTACTGCATGCACACTGGTGAACAAACCAAGCTTCTCTGAAGGGCAGAAAGAGCCTTAACACCCAGACACTGGGTATGCTTATCCGAACAAAAAGGAACAACAGGGTTGGGTAATATTAGAAGTCCTGGAGGCTGGTTCCAGAAAGGCTTCTATAAGAGTGCACAAGGTATCAGAATAGGGCAGGAGAAAGCCACTCAAAAGTAAGATGGAAAATGAGAAAAGAATTTTTTCTAGAACCAAAGTCCAGAATCAAGATAGAACACAAGAAACACCCGGATTTGTATAGAAGAGCAGGTACCTCAGAAGATAAGAATCCCAGGTGGACTAACAGACTCTGGTCAAATCTCCCTGGGTCAGGCAGTCAGGAGAGGTGATTTTGAAGAGGAGAGGGACATGGACCCAACCTGAGAGGAGAATAATGTGATTTCAGGAAAAAGAGCTTAGGCATGATGGTGGCACTGGCACCAACCCAGAGGGAGGAGACTAGTCAAACACCAGCAGAAAAGAAGATGGGTGGGAAAGGAAAATGATGACAAACCCTCACCCTCTTCTCAGATTATAACATGAAAACTGTCATAAGAAAGTGAGTCATCTTCAAGTACTTGCCTTACGATTACCAAAGCATTTTATAGACATTTCTCTAAAATAATGCTTTTCTCTATCTCTCTTCCCTTATTCCCTCCCTTTCTACTTCCCTCCCTGGCTTTTCCTCCCTTCCATCCTTCCTTCCTTTCATGAACCTACATCCACCAGAAATAACAATTGCCCTTTGACTGAGCACCTAACAGACAGGTGGATGCATAAGGTGCAACTAAAATTTTTAAGAACTGATGGAAGCAGCTCACAACAGTGGCCTTACCTGAGGCTTATGTTAATGGATGGTAACACAGAGGAAAGGCACTGGCAGGAGAGGAGTAATCCACATACTTGAGTTTTAAGATTGTTAGTATGTTATGAGGGCCACACCATGTAAAAAGTTGTGCATTGATGTTAATTCTGAGTTAGTGAATTCTGTTTTTCTTGATGGGAGGACATGGTGCTGTATGAAAAAAAAGAGAAAAACAGAGAGATGGGGGTGCCTATAAGATGTAATAACCTCAGGACTCTGCACCATGTTGAAAAGATCCAGTGAATCGTGACTCTTATTCACCAGTGACATCAGTATGCTATCCTGGATCTACATGGTGACTTTAGGCTCTCACCAAACTGAAAACAATTCATTTGCAAAGCAAGCATTTAAGCCTCTCCTTCCCTCTTCCAGACCTGAATATAAAAGAACTGGATTATCACATGATTCAATTCTTGTCACTTACTGAATAGTCACTTAACTGAAGATAGGTGATTCACTTACCGTTCTTCAGGGCATCCCAGAAGAACCAGTAGTGCCTATTATTCATCTCCACAGCCACTTAGAAAATTAAAACGCTCAACAGAATTAATCTGAGCTAAAGATTAGGGTACTGTCCAGGAAACATGCTTGTTTCTGGTTTCAGAGCCCAGAACTTCCTCCTGATTTACTCATCACCACCCAGGAATCCTACACTCCACAGCAAACTAAGGATCACCTGGGCTTGGCCCCACAAAGGATGGATAGTGGGGCCAAGCCCACATGACACTTTTGTCAAAGACTAAGTGCCCAAACATGTCAAGCCAGAGATTTTCATTACAAAAGCTAGAATAAAGATACAGTGGCCCCCAAACAATTGGACTTCCTTAAGGCAAGGCTCATATTCTGTATAAAAAGCTAGCTTGCCAGAGACTCTTCACAAGACCTGAAGGCCAGACAGCTTGGACTTTTCTCTGCACCAGGTGAGTCTCTCTACTTGTGATTTCTTAATATTTCTCTCATCCTATTTTCTTTCCTGGACTCTCTCCATCATGCTAAAATATATAAATATATAAACATATATATATAATATATAAATATATATATTTATATTAAATGCAATTGTGATTTGTGGTTAAGGTGACATTACAGATCTTTTTGACTCCCCCCTCAGATTGTAACTATGGAAAATGGTTTCTGTAATGACGACTTGCTCAGTTACAGGATAGGGACTACCAAGTCCAGAGTACATTTAGTGACTTTTATTACTTCTTCTAATCATTACTCAGAATTTGATATATTGAGGCACTGCACTGGCAATTTGTGTGTTCAAAACATAGGTTTTTCTTTGCTTCATGATGCCATCCATCAGAGATCTTAAAATGTGGGAGTAATTCGCAAGCATTATCCATGGGAAATGATTAAGAGAGAGGACAAGCCAGGTACTGTGCTGTGGCAAAGGAGGAAGGTGACTTGAATTTGGCGGAGAGTGCCTGGGAGGGGAGCCATGGTGGGTGAGCCTGTATGGAAGAAGAGAAAGGATGGAAAGCCTTCCAGAAAGCATGCACATGGAGAATGACGTGAACAGAGCACCAGAGGTGGACTCATGTGGGCTCAGGGCAAGTTCCCAAGCAGCTTTCCTATGAGAGCTATGTGGTGGACTTGAGAGAATAGAACCCACTTAAGTTTCTTTTCTTGAATGTACACAGGAATCAAAGAAGTTTCCATTAACCTTAAATTCAGAGAAACAGAAAGGAAAAGAAGACAGTTGGTCACATCTGTAGGGACATGAAATGAGATATATTTATCGTTAAGTTTGTCTTATTCCCTGTTTCAACAAACCTCCTGGTAAACTTTTCTGTCTCTAGGTCCAGCCTCCTTTGAAGCATGAGTTCCTACCAGCAGAAGCAACACAACATCCCACCTCCCCAGCTTCAGCAGCAGCAGGTGAAACAACCCCAACAGCCACCACATCAAGAACCATTTGTTCCCACTCCCAAAGAGCCATGCCACACCAAGGATCCACAGCCTGGCCACACCAAGGATCAACAACCTGGCCACAACAAGGTTCCTCAGCAGCCTGGCCACATCAAGGATCCTCAATATGACCACACCAAGGTTCCCGAGCCCGTTCACCCTCAGGTCCCTCAGCCTGGCCACCCCAAGCATCCACAGCCTGACCAAACCAAGGTTCCTCAACCTGGCCACACCAAGGATCAACAACCTGGTCACAACAAGGATCAACAACATGGCCAAACCAAGGATCCACAACCTGGCCACAGGAAGCTTCCAGAGCCAGTTCACCCTCAGGTCCCTCAGCCTGACCAGCCTAAGATCCCTGAGCCATATTCTCCAATAGTTATTCCAGGCCCATCCCAGCAGAAGACCAAGCATAATTAATATGGTAACAGCCATGCCCTTGAAGAGCCACCAAATGCTGAACACCTTCTTCCCTTCTGCTTCTGTGTTGTAATTATCTTGTCATCAGTATGTTCTCACCATCTATCAGAATCTCTCTCTTAACTGCATTTTAAAATATATTTTCTATGAGGCTTTTGCTGAACACTCTGAAGGGTCCTCTGAGCCTTTGAATTATGCTGAAGGCCTAAGTGGCTTTGCTGGTCCTAAGTTGCTCAGGTCTCATCTGAAGAGTTGATCTGATTGAGAAGAATGCCTGTTTCTGCTCTGCCACCATTAAATGAATTTAACACCACTTTTGACTACTTATGTCATTTGCTATATCTGTCCCTTCCTGGTCTGTCATGAGTAGAGCCTGTAATCAGAAAGCAGTTGGTGTAGACATCATTGATCTGTCCTGGTACTGTGTGCTTAATGAACGTGTGAGTGTGTGATTTCATGTGGGGCATCCTGAAAATGGCCATGGCTCTTGTGTAAGGGAACCCAGAGCCTGTCACTTTGGGCAGCCACACCTGGAGCAGGGCACTCCTCTGACACTGGGCTGAGTCATGCCTCAGTTCCATGGTGCCTGCTCCAAGCCACCTCTGATTCTAAGGGCCCTGTCCTCAAGGCTCCTGCTTAGTCCCATTAAAACATCACTGCTACACACTCGAACCTAATTATTCTGGTTTTCTTCATTCATTTCACCTTCCAGAAAACAAATACATATATTCACATGCTCATAGTGAAGCACATTCATTTAAGTTCACACACATTCTCCTAATTATCCACATAAGCCTTGCTCTCATTAGCCTCAGACAATGTTCTTTTTGCCTCCACCTATCCCGTACAACGAGGTCAGAAACTATCTTTACCAGAAAGAGGGTGAGGAGGATACACAGTGCCTTTCCTTGGAGAATCAGTAGTCTTTTCTGGGAGATACAGTATTCACATCCTTACACAAACATGTACATATACAGCCACAAGCAAACACTCCAAATAATGTCTCTCCCAAAATGAAACACAGAAGCCTGCCTATTCAGTGATTAGAAAACTGAGGTGAGTTTGAAGAAGAGATTAGAAGGAGGAATGTGTCATCCAAGTGAGGTGGGTAACCAGCAGTAACTGGCAGTTCACTGTCGTTTTTAGTTCAATGACAGTGAACAGGTTGTTGAGCTATAAAATGTCAGGGGTGTAATGAGAGTTAAATAGCACCTTGCATAGTCCCTGTGTTTCCAGATAAAAAACTGGTATTCAGAAAGGAGAAGAAGATGAAGTGAGATCAACCAGAAATTGTTTTCAAAAGACACCCAGAGCCCAGGTCTCCAGATTTCTAGATCATCATTTTCTCCTGAAGCTTGATGTTTTTTAATCCCCACCCAAGGACATTTTTTTATTGCTTTTGGAGGGAGAGAGAGGAAGGCAGAGAGTGTTTAGATAGAGATGATAGTTAGAGGAAGCATCGATGTGAGAGACAAACATCGATTAGTTTCCTTTCCTACATGCTTCAACTAGGGACTGAAATCTCAACCAAGACATGTGCCCCGAGTAGGAATCAAACCCATGACCTTTTGGTCTGTGAGATGATGCCCAACTAACTGAGCCACACAGGCCAGAGCACAGCTCGCTTTTGATTTCAAGAATGACCAGCAGGTTTGCACATCTTTGCTTGAGTGGGCCTTGGATTTTGGGGAGCTTTTTTCAAAATCAATGAAGCCAATATAAAATTTCAGAATGGCTACAGTGATTACTGGGAAGTGAACCTCCTCTCTTGGAAAGGTTCATGGTCCATAACACCATGCAGGTGTGGGGCAAGTGACAGGTAGTATCTGAGAGATGCACAAGCACTCCAAATAGAGTTGGCAAAAACTCAGAAATATTTGGACACTGTAAGACAGGAACTGTCCAACAGGTCATTATAAAGTGGTGAGTAGTTGTCAAACAGGTAGAAAGGAATGACTTGTCTTGGGTCTATATGGTGTGCACAGCTGAAGTGACTTCATATTACTGCATGTTGCAAGTGTAAAAGTGTCTAAAGGTTAACTCCAAGCCATTCACAATTATATAGACTGACTCTTAATGAGGAAATGGGCTCTTTACAACACAGACCCTATGAATATAGTTTAAACATCCTAAAGAAGAGTTTGGCAGGAAAGAATCAAAAGGTACAAAGTTCTACCTTACTCTTGAACCATCATCATATTGTACAAATTTATTTTTAGGAAATATTCATACATGTTTATGGATATTTTAGTTTTATTTATTTATTTTTCAATTTATTTTTGTTCGAGTACCATTGTCTCCATTTTTCTGTCACCACTTTCCCCCACCTCCCGCCCTCAATTCTTCTCCCCTTTCATTTTCTCCATGGGTCCTTTATATGTGTTTCGTGACAACCCTTTCCCTTCTTTTCCCCATTTCCCCTCTCCCCGTCCCTTTTGGTTACTGTCAACTGGTTCTTTATTCAATGTCTATGGTTATATTTTTCTTGCTTGTTGTTTTGTTGATTAGGTTCCACTTACAGGTGAGGTCACATGGTATTTGTCTTTCACTGCCTGACTTACTTCACTTAGCATAATGCTCTCTAGTTCCATCTAGGCTGTTGTGAAGGGTAGGAGCTCCTTCTTTCTTTCTACTGTGTAGTATTCTTTTGTGTAAATATACCATGGTTTTTTGACCCATTCATTTACTGATGGGCACCTAAGATGCATGCATACAAATATTTTCCACACAAGGATATTTGTTTCAGCATTGTATCCAATATCAAAGAATTGATAACACTTAAGTGCATATGAATAGACAGTAGGTTCAATAACTGATCAGATGTCTAAGTGTTAGGATAATACTGCAGCCATTAAAATGATTGTTGTAAGAGGAGGATGTCTTACTGGGAAATGTTGAGATTACACTATTACAAAAGGAGATACTAAACAATACAAGCAAAAGCATCTTTTTAATACTGTACGCATATATAAGGGTTTATAAAAAATATCATCACACTACACAAAGCAAACTGAAACTATGACTCTTTCTTCTGCTTATATATCAGTGTTCATTTTCTAAGAGCTCTCTCCCATGCCTCTCTTCTATTCGTAAATACCAACTCAAATTTTCAATAATCTGGTAGGGGCATTGGATATTGCAACTGTCCACACACACTCATAACCCAAGGGCCTCAAGTCCTGCCTACTGACTAGCTGAAGCCAATTAAGTAAGGGGTGAGTGAGGAGTTGTGTCCCATTCTTGCCTCGGTGCTTTGTCATGCCTCAGTTTCTCTCCTCCTCTGTGAGTTGGCAAATGCTCCCCCCACTGGGATAGCCACTTAGAAAGTTGGTACTGTTTCTGTGTAAAGAACTTCTATGCATAGTCTGGCAAACTTCAACCCACTTAACACTTCCAAAGCCTGAGTGTTCATATCAACTTGCGCTGATAAGTTAGTTTTTCTTTATGGTTCTTTCTTGTTTTCCATACCTTCATTTTCTGAAGACCTACCAGGAATGTGATTCCTGTAAAAAAAGTAATTTTTATTCCATAATTCCTCCATAATTTTACTCCATAATTCCTGTAAAAAAGTATTTTTACTTCAGATAGAAATTGACTCAGGGACATCCCTGTATCTTCATATTACTGACTTAGAAAATCGTCATGATTGGATGTTTAAATCAACCACTTTCATCCATTATTCTTTGCCAATTGTTAACATAATTTTCTCAATTCTCTCCCTTCTCTTCTTTCAGTTGTCTGTCATGCTCTATATTCTACACCCCTCCTTATAGCTGCTACACACACTTTCCTGGAACTCAGTGGCCTGCCTGGCCTTTGGGTCTTATTAGGTCCTCTTATTTAAGTCCTTGTTCCAATTATAAGTAATCATTGCCTATGAAAAATATAAAACGATAAAAATAATATGTACTAATGTTTTATACATTGCTTATAGTAAGATAGATGATTCTATGAAAAGTCCAAGATCTCAGTGGAATGGACAACAGAAGTTTAATTTATGCACCTATCATATTGAATTGAAATTGCCAAGCCTTTCTCTTCCACCCAGGCACTTGGGGACTCAGGATCTCTGCCATCTGTATTTCCATTGTCCTCCAGAGTCTCCCTGTACAGCAATGACATATGGACCTGGAAAGTTTGGGTAAAGAGAAGAAAATCTTGATTCTAATTAATTAGACCCAGAGGTCATCTGTATTGCTTCCAGCCATATTCTACTAGGCAAGTACAAATTACATGACCTCATCTCTTTAATGGCACTGTAAAGTATACTTGAAATTTTCTAAGAGAATAGATCATAAGTGTTCTCAACACATACACACACAAAGCTGAGATGGTGAAAGTGTATGTGACAATCACTTCACAATGTGTATGCATATCGAACCATCATATTGTACACATTAAATATATACAATTTTTATTCATCAATCATACCTCAATACACTGGAGGAAAATAAATAAATAATGCTGCCATTAAAAAAACAAAAATAGAAATAAATGCACTGAGCTTTGAAAACTATGTCATGCTTACACCCAGGAAAGTGAGAACACAGATATCTCTGATCCTTCAAATCCTGCCATAACACACACTTTTGATCATCAAGTGTGTAGTTTGTACATACTTGCTTCTTTTTTAAAATTCTTTTGAGATTTTTTAAAAGGTTTTATTTGTTTCTGTTTAGACAGGAGAAAGGAGGGAGAAAGAGAGAGCAAGAAACATGAATGCGGGGTTGCCTCTCCCACAGCCCTACTGGGGACCTGGCCAGCAACCCAGGCATGTGCCCTGACTGGGAATCAAACCAGAAACACTCTGATTCACAGGCTGGCATTCAATCATTGAGCCACACCAGCCAGGGCTGCTTCTCTTTTTCTCATGCCTATAACATATCTCCTCCTGAAGAAATCAGCACAAGGGACTAAAGTCCTCTTATCATCCTCCTCCTCAATATCTGGAATCTCTGAGTGATCTTTAGTCTTACCCATCAGGTACTCATGGATCAAGTCTTCCCAGACCACAAAATTATGACATAAAAAAGAAATAAGCTGCATCCACCCCCATCACCAATGCTATGTGTTGACATGGAACAGGGCAGAAAAACAGCAATGAAAACTTCCACGTGAGAAAAATGGAAGCCACTGGTTAATGGAAAATCTGGAATCCCACCTACAGACATTATAAGGCCTACCCTTCCCATGATTCTGCTATCTGGAAAGCAACCCCTTGCCTACTGGTCTCTGTGTCCTATGCCTATGGCTCTTCTTTGCTCATTAACCTCCATGGCCACATTTGTGAATGCTTAGGATGTCTTAAGACAA